CCTTAACCAAAATAAATCAATTAATTTTTTTCGATGTTTTTGAAAATTATAGTTTTCGAAATATGCGACGTTTCTTTTGCGGTTCAGTATATATACATCTTCAAAGAAATACCTGATGAGAATTGTCACTTTTAGGTATAAGACATGAATGTAATGTGTATATATACATTTTCAAAGAAATCCACTGATGAGAATTGTCACTTTTCAGTATACGACATGAATGTAAAGTATATATATATATATATACATTTTCAAAGAAATACTTGCATTTTGCACAAGTTTACTTTGAAACTTGTTAACAGGTTACTCCATATTATGTAGATAAAAATTTCTTATTTTAGAACTGTTTGCTTATCTCAAAATATAAAATCAAAAATAGCCTCATCTTGAAATTTGTCTTTAGTACTTTTGAAATTTTTCCCTATAATTGTGAGAATACATTTTTGCCGAAGTATGTAATTATTTTTATTCTTATTTTTCAATAACTAGTATTTGATTAAATGAAAAGTTCTTACTGTTTAAGTATTCTCATACTATGTAAGTATGTGTGTTTATATTACTTTAGACAATATCTGTATTAAAACTAAAGTCAGGATAAAATTAAGGATTGTGATTATAATTTGTTTCAGATCAGGTAGACGTACCTCTGAAAAGCCTTTCTTTGTTGAGGTTGAACTCATAATATCAATAGAACATGTGACTGAAAACTTCAGAATGTATTTTACACTTTGCAGAGCATACATCATTTACCTATAATTCTTCATTCTCAAACCTTCCTTGTGATTTATTGTGTGTGTGTGTGTGTCAGGAGATATAACACAAGCTCTGCTTTTCTGCTACAATCTAGATTGATGACAGTTGTGTTGTTCATTTTGCTATAATATTATTTCTCGTGCAACTGTTTGCACCACTAACAGAGTTTCTATACGGCTTCTTTTTACATGGCAATTCCCTTGAATCATGCTAACTTAAGATACTGTGAAAGGGATCTTGCCCCTCCATGTAGTCCATCCTTAGACCTGTTGTCTATTAGAATTTCTCCTAATACTCTAGATTACTTTCAAGTATGGCTCATTTGTGAGTTTCTTGTTGTTGGCTTCCCTTTTCTTCCTTCTCTAGAATCTGGATCTTTTCAAGACTAATGCTAGGTAGCATTGTCGACTCAGCTTCACCACCGATAGTTTATACTGATGTTCCTGGCAGGTATGATAATCATGTGGATGTTTAATTTGCATAACACTCACCACTTTCATTTGTTTTTTTTGTTTTTTTATAAAGGTCATTTTTTACCCAGACATAATATCCTTCAGTATCTGCAAAGCTTGTTTAATCTGCTACAGTGCTTGTCCTGAAATGATTTCCATACTTAAATCTTTTATTTCTCCCTCCTTCTCATGATATTTTAGTTTAAAATATTTTTCATAACTGGCTCTATATTCATATACTTCATATTCACCTTCTCTTATTTCTCCTTAAGCTTTTGACCCTTAATTTCATTATGGATCAGGGTCCACTTGTTTCTTTTTTTTATCTTACCCCATTGTAAGAGTTCTACCCTCCACACTATGATATGACTTGTTAAGAGAGACACTTTTCTTACACCATTATTAGTTATTCCTTTTTTTTTTTATTTAAAGTTACATATCTACTTTGAAGTCTTGATTACCTATGGGTCACACTGCTATTATTTCTATTATAACTTAGCTCTTATGTTCCTTTGATACTTTTAACCATCTGGTTGAAAACTGCTCATTTTTTAAACGGATGACATCCATATATATATATATATATACATTTTTAAATAACATGCTTTGTTTTTGACTAGGCAAATACTTAACTTTTTTCCCATTCAGGGGATTCTTATGAGCAGGAGTTTATTAGGGTTTAGCTTATTGTTTTCCTTCTGGTCATCATTCCCTTCTAGTCGTGTATCTTATGTTTTTTGATGTTCTGTATTTACTTATGGTTTTAGTGTGGCATAGTGTCAATATAAACAAGGTGGGTCTTTATGACTCACTCATTAACTCTTTCTTCTGAATGACTCCTCTGTCCATACTATTGGGGGTCAGATTTATGTTCATCTATGAGCCCTTCACTTTGGGTTGTGTGCTTACTTAAGATACTGTGAATGAGTCTGTGCCTCTTATGGAGTCTATCCTTAGATCTGTTGTCTATTAAAATTTGTACTACTGCTCTTGATTTTCTTTAAGTGTGGTTCATTTGTGAGTTTCCCATTGTTGGTTTACCTTTTCTTCCTCTTCTGGGATGTGGATCTTTTCACCAATGCCTCTCTCCAGGGCTAGGGTGATGTGTTACAGGACCATTATATTTAAAGTCTTTAGTTTTGTAGATATGCTATTCTCTTATGATTTTGTTAGATTTTAGCTGTTCCATATGAATATCAGGAGTCCTGTCCTTGTTAAACCATCACTATGTTCTAGTACTGTAAGATACTTTGACTGTTTTCTCTATGTTTTGGCTACATTCACATTATATCCTTTACTAATTTAGTATTTCATCAACAGTTCAATCATCCTGTGTTTGATGCACTTACAACAGCAGTTCATCATTTTCTGATACTTTACTGATTTCTGGAGACAACTTCTGTACAAATAAATGCTTTGAATCTGTCTGTGGAGATTTTTTTTCACTCTGTTTACTCTCTTCTTTCTCAGGTATTTGCCAATATCAATTGGTTCCATTGTCCAGTTCTCCTTAATACCCCATGCTGGCCTGCTCCACCATGGTTTCCACTAGTATTAGCAGAGAGATCCTATTCCATTACATTTGGTACATCTTCTACAATGATGCTTGTCATCTACAGCTTCATGTACCTCTTTCATGATTGTGGATTGTCTACTTTTACAGCAGACTACAGAACTACACTCTTAGGCACTGTCAGTTGCCACAGAAGTCATGCTTTGTCATCCCAACTTTTTTTAGGTGTTTTTTTGGGTTTTATTATTATTACATCTCCAACAAGTACCTAGTCATTGTTCATAATAGGAGATCTTAAGTTGTCTGGCTATTGTTTTTCAACGCTTCATAACTTGTTCACTCAACCATCTTTCCATAAAAATGTGTTTTATTTGTTACTCAATAAAGGGAGGAAATGTCGAATATTTTTGCCATTAATGTTTTTCATATTCTACATTTGTCATTCCACTTTCTATGTACTAGAGCTGCATGAAAGGGTGATGCCCTTTCGAAATGGACAAAAGATGTCATATAACAGCTGATGGCACCTACGTAGGTACCTTTCCCACTTGCATTTACTTCCTTGCATGGCATTAGAGATATCAGAAATTAGACTACTGTTATCACTAGATGTCTCAGCTCTACTAGGTGTGAATCATCATATGTTTTTTTATTTCTTTATTTACATTTTGATGTTGAGCCTATCCTTGGGGACTTCTTGGGTTTTTCTTCAGTTCTCCCTGAGCACTTGCTAATTTGGTCAGTTGTCTGATTCACTGACCAGTTTTGATATGGATGAAGAGATGTTGCTGCCTCTGGAGTAATAAAAGAGTGACATGGGTGAAGAGAAGTATGCCTTCTTCCTTTAGGTGCAATCTATTTCTAGTCTAGATTATCATATTCCTGCTTGTAGCTTGTATTTTAATATTTTGGAGTTCTTTTGATGTTTGTAGGTTCCTATCTCTTTTACAGTATGGGTATTCTGGTTTTCAGTATATCAAAGGTAAGTCTACCTGATATTAATTTTACATTTTTAAAATTAAAATGGATGTCAAACCTCTAAAATACTTTCTCTCCTGCTTCCCCACAGTTGAATTTCCATCACAACTGCAACTTTCGATAAAATCTATGGCAGAAAAGCAGAGCTTATGTAAGAATCCCCTGACACTTAATGCAATAAATTGTATGTAAGGTGGGAGAATGAAGAATTATGGGAAAATGATGTATTCTTTGCAAAGCATAAAAGACATTCAGAAGTTTTTGGTCACATGTTTTGTTGATGGCATGAGATCAAACTCAACAAGATAAGGATCTTAGTATTTCAGAGGTACGTACCTGTTGGATATCCATTTTAATTTTAAATATATAATATTTGATACCTGTACTGTAAACCATTACTGAGCAAGTAAGTGCAGAACACTTTCTATTAACAGTTAAATTTGTTTTACCCAGTAAGTTTGTGTACTTTTGGTATAGAAATATTCTCACGTGCTTGTGTCAGATTTTTCCCATACAAAACATACTGAATATGCTCTGTCTTCTTTCCTTAATGCTACTTACATTAACAGTGTTTGTTAGAGTATATAATATACTTGGGATATGCATTGTTAACCTAGTGTATAAACTTTGCACTATCGTAAATTTCTGAAGCTAGCTGAACCTCCTGAATGTTATTGTGTTTACAGCTTAAAATAACATCAACAGTGAGGGTACACAAATGATTAAACAATGCATTCTAATTTTTATAAGTAAGAATGTAACATATTTGATCTAAGTAGGTAGCTTGCTCTTGTGAGAAGCTAATTTTAATGAATCAGCCTCTACATATATTTGATTATCAGCTTGTTTTGCATACATTGACACAGAAACATGAGCACTAGAAATCCTAACAGCTCTTCAGTTTCCTTTGCGATATAATCATTTTATTAACCAAACAAATTTCTCATTTTATTTTCATTACAAACAAAATTATCATGTAAACTAAAGAACAAGTTACATGTGTTTTGAACAAAAGAAAGTATATACCATTAAAGTTGTATATTTTTCTTACCTTAGTTTAATTCTCACCATGTATTATGGTACATTATACACTGCCCATTCTATTAGTCCCATACATGCTTGCAAGTACTTCAGAATATCTACCCCCCCCCCCCCAAATCATAAACAGCTTTGCCAACATTTCAAGCTGCCTGTCCATTAAGTTTTTTTTTTTTACATTCTGATCAGCATTTCAATTTTTCTATCCCCAAAATGTCACATGTTTTGTTCAGCATTTCATGCTGCCCATTGGCTAAACTTAATTTACTTTGGACAGCATTTCGAGCCAATCATATCTTAAGCTCTGCTCAACAGTTCAGTCTGTCTATTCCCATACATTCTAGTCAATAAATATAAGTGGCTCAAGTAACTTTCTCAAGTTCTTTATTGTTTTTTTCCATGATAAACAGGTATGTCATATCTATACTGCATAGAGATGTGGAGGTGAGCTTTCCATATATTAGTGACACTGGAACCTACATCCCCGAGAGTTGCATCTTTGGTCAACTTTTAAACATAGTAGCTTGTCTGAGTAAGTAAATACTTCAGGAATTTTCTTGCTACTTTTAAAATCTGTAGGCCCATATGTAAAGTAATTAAATTTTATTATCTACTCCAACATCGTATAAGTAATGTCAACACATATGCTTTGTTGCATTTAATATGGAGGTACAAACAAAATATTTAAAACATTTTAAAGATTAATAGTCTACAGAGTCAGGAAAGGAAGAAAACAAAATTCTGATACAGTACATTATCTCGGCTCACATAATTAGTTATTCTCGTTCAATGCTGCTCTTTATATGCAAAAAAACATTTTATGCATGCCACAAGCCTTTTGCCTCCCCTCCATTGGAAATGACTCATTCTAATGTGTGTCTCATCCAAATCATCATGTGACAACCCTCCACCAATGAGAGTACCACACACACTCGTTATGCATGTGACTCCCTCTGTTCAGTTCTACCAAATTATCACTTGTTTGGCAGTGCTCGTGTTTGGATATTTCTAATTTTGTTCTCATGTCCTTTATTGTTGTAACTTTTACAATTATACTTTCCTGTCTTTTTTTTTTTTTTCACTCGTTTGTATTTATCTCTCAAACAATTTGTTTGATTTATTATTCACCGTGAATTCCGAGGTTAATGTGACCACTTTGGGTCTCACACCTACTATAGAGCCAGTTATGAAAAATATTTCAGTGGCTGTGGGTGTGAGCGAAGGATTTATCTATGATTTTTTGCTGAGAGATTGATTGTTATATGGTCAACCATCTTCTCCTGAAGTTGCTCCACTTCCTCATGAACAATCTAAACCTGTTTGTTCTTATGAAGATTTTGATGTATTTTGCTGTGTCTCCCTATGCCCCACCTGTAGAATAAGCTAGGCCTAATATGGCATGTATAGATATGATTTCTCAGGTATGTGCTGTTTTATCCCTTTCCCCATTTTCCTATGATCGTCGTCCTCCTTTATTGCACTACATGGGTAAAGCTGTCCATCCCTGTCATGTCTTGTATTGAATAAATCAGTATGGTCTGCTTTTAAAAATAAGATTTCCTGGTCACCCTCAGGTGTTGACGTTCCTCCAGACTCTCCATTGTGTTTCACCCCTCCCCTTTCTTCTAGTGGAGTTTGAAAGTCCTTACCACTTTCCAGTTCCTAGCCGCTGAGATGGTGGACCATGGAGGCATCCTCCTGAATGGATTAATGACATAAAATTTCAATACAGAAATACCATTCAGTGTAGAGTAGGGCAGTGGTGTTCTGCTGGTGCAGATGATGTGATATCCTCCACTGTAAAGCATATGTAAACTCAAAGGAGTGAGACATCAAATTGCAGTTCACCCCTTTGATTGGGATCCCTCATCCTACTCCCATGTGAATGTTGGTTCTCGCTGGCCAGGTTTTGGATTTAGAGTAAAACCAATCAACATAAGTCCTTTTTTGCATATAGAGAGCAGCACCGAACAAGAATAGCTAATTATGTGAGAGGAGGTAAGTACCTATTGGAAACTAATTTTCAGTATAGGAGAATTATAACATTGGTAAATGTTTCTTGCTTTAACAGTATACTGTACATGAAAGGTTAGCAAATGTGTATGTACAAAAGGCGTGTATATTCACTGCATAATTTATATGTAACATTAAAATTAATTCTTTTTTACTGAAACCTTAAATTCATAGGCAACTAGAAGTTAAAAAAACATTAATTTATACTTATAGAAATAAAATTTGGATTGTTAATGTGTTATTTTTTACTCTGAATGTTGTATGTTCATACTTTCTCCAAATCTGTTATCTCAAACAATCACATCAACATAGGTAATCAACATTTCGGCTTTTTTGTCAATATATATCTAAAGCTACACCTTGAACTTATACCAGCATGAAGGGAAACTGAGTTTTTCAAAGCTCGTGTTGTCAAAGATGTTTTTTTTTAAACACTCTTCACATTCTCCACAGTTGCAGCTACGGTGTATGTCCGATACAAGCAAGTTGAACATTACTATCAAAATCACCTTGGAAGTGAATCAACACAAATGCTTCGGTTGAATATGGTAGGACTATGTCTAGGGTGGGCTGCTGCACTTGGAGCAAGTCTGGTAGCAAATTTTCAAGTGTGTAGAACTATTTTTCTTACATCATTGTTGGTAAACATTACTCTAAGAACCTCAATGAAATAAATATTAAGTTCAGTTTTAATAATATATATATTTTACTATAAAAATGATCCATTATGTGTGTGTGTGTGTGTGTGTTAACATCCTTGACCAAGAGGTGGTTGGCTTGATTACCATAAATTTTTGTATGGTAACTGGAATCCATCCAACATTGTACTTAAACTATTTTGTTTTGGAATTTTTGCCCAAAAAGGGAATAAAAAAAAACTTTAATATAAGGCACATTTTGAATATTTTTATAGAGTTTGAAATCGAAAACACGAGTACTTAATCAGTTACATGAGTCAATTATTACCTTCCTCAAAGCAGGTTATGCAATTAGCATCTAATTAGGTCATTAGGGATTAAATAACAAAATAAAGAAAACAGACACTATCCTTTATACAATTTTTGTTTCCCTTACGGGTACTCTCAGCTAGTATATATATATGTATATAGTTATGAGATTTGAGGGAAACCAATTTATTATTATTTTTATAAAGTCAAATGAGTTCTGTATGTTAGGTGTTTATAAGGATATTTTCAAAACCAAAACATGTGAATGATGTTGTTGCATCATCGAGGTCACGTGACTGGTGTGGCGCCCTCTATTTTCTAGAACTATCCTGTACTTTGGCAAATGCTCTAGTATTTACTAGATACAGGGTAGTTTGGTATATAAAAAGGGGACAACGTGAATAATGTAATGTGTGTGTAGACAGTGAGTAATTGAACTGCAGTCAGAGAGCACGAGAGACGTTACAGCGTTTGTTTAGCACGATTGTTGAAGTTGAGTGTATTGGTAAAGTTATATTCAGAAAGAATAAACCAGTTTTATTAAGTAAAGACTTGTGTCGCTTAAGTTTCGTCAGAACGAAGTTACGGAAAAATCAATTAACAAACGGAGACGTAACAATGTGTTTGACATTAAAGGATGGACATCTGTATAGGTGTGTAGAAACAACTGGTGTGAGGTTGAAATAGTCCGTATACAAATTTGTGTTTTTGAACAAGCAAAATGAAATGTAATGTTTTGTGTTAGATGATGTTACACTCCCCTTACTTCCTTTAGAAGCATTTTCGTGTATATATTGTTTTAAACTTAATATGGAGTTATATTAATACCATAGTTTCTATGTGAAACTAATCTTGTATTTTTAATACAAAGATATCCAACATCAAACAAAAAATGTTTCAACAAATTGTTTATCTTCTAAAATTGTATTTTTAATTACATAACCTGAATGACCATTTATTTTTATAGATAAAGCTTTGTAAGATCTTTTAATCTCCTATTATATGTAGGGACCTATTTGCAAAGAGTTAATTAATTAATATGTTAAGTGTGTGTATATATATATTTGTGTATTTCTTCACCATAGGAGACAGCTGTGATTGTTGTTCACATGATAGGGGCTACAATGGCTTTTGGTTTAGGAATGATATATACGTGGCTTCAAACAGTCATTTCATTCTACACGTGCCCATTGATGAATACTAAGACAGTGGCCGGGATACGACTGTTTCTATCCATAGTTAGCATGATGTGCTTTATTATATGTATCTTTTGTGAAGAGGATAAATTCTAGGTTAATTGTGTTCTAACAAGTTTCTTGAAGGTCATATTGTAGTAATTCACCAAGTTTTTTATTAATTTAACACTGATTTTTTAGTATAATCTCGCTTGTAGTGATTCACTAAGTTTCTTCTAAATTAAACACTAATTTTTAGATATTACTTGTAATAATTCACTAAGTGTCTTATTAATTAAACACTGATTTTTAATATAATCTCATCTGTAATAATTCACCAAAGTTCTTATTAATTAATTACTGATTTTCTTAATATACTTATATATATTATATGGTAATCCAGTGTCTATTTAGTTAATAACTGATTTTTAGTATAATCTCATTTGTGGTGATAATTCACAACTTTTATTTAATTATTTATTGATTTGTACCAATAATTTTACATATTGTGGTAATCCACAGCATCTAATTTGTTAATTATAGATTTTTAGTATAATCTCACTTATTGTGGTAATCCAGGGCTTATCTCATAGTAATTCACCAAGATTTGTATTATAAGTTTTAACAGTTTTAAACTATTGTTGTAAGAAGAGAAAAGCCACTGTATACATTAAATAAAACTCCACAGACATATCTTTTTTTGAGTGGATTATTTTATTTTTTGTACTTTATAACAATGTTTTCATCACTTCTGTGGTCATCATTAGGTAAACTGTCATTTATCTTATGAAATTTTAGAAAGTTGCATGAGCATTTTGTTCCAATTCAAAAAATGCATAGGGTGATATCTCTGTTTTTTATTTAAATTATATTTTAGTCAAAGAATAACTAACATATATTTTTCTTCTATTAATGTTATTCTCATAATATTTCAAAGTTGTTAATATTGATTAGATATTGATTTATTGTGTCGTGTTCATAAATGTGTGATGAAGAATAGTTATGTATTTGATCCTAATATTTATGTTGCATCACATTTAACCTCTGAAAGTGCTGTTGCATTGATCACATTGATATTTGTAGATGCTTTTGTTGTTGAAGTTGTCAGAATAAAGCCCCCTTAGATGATATTTGGTTTTAGTACTCACTTTTTAAATAAAAATAACTTTATTCTTTAGATTTTTGTTTATACTTGTTTCCAAGTGTTTATGATGTTTGTGGTTATTAGTGTATTTGAGTTTGTGCATTTTGTTTCCTTCTTGGAGTTTATGGTGTTTTCTCTTTCCTTTTTTTATTATACAATTTATTTTTATATTTGGCTAAAGTTCTAGTGACAACTTGTTTAGAGAAGTGACTTTTGCTAATAAATCTATCAAATACCGATTCTAGTTCATGTTACAGATTACTGCCACTGCATGTGTTAAATGCTGTGTTGTAAGTGCATGATAATGTGCTAATTCTTTTTTTTTTTTTAGTTCAGATTTGCAGTAGATTTTGGTGTTAAAACTGTTTGTGTTTCTTTCTATTTTATCTTTGTGTAAATTAAAACATGGTTTTCATTTTCTTAATCAAACGTGAACTTGACATTAGCATGAATGTTTACATGTTGTAGAAATGACTGTCGATAGTCGTTATCTTTAAATCCTCAAAATACATCATCGAAATATCTAAACTAGTCTGTGTGAGGGTGTAGAGTTGTATTATTCAAAGTAAAACTTATGAACAAATAGATGGCAGCCTTCTGTCACCTGGATTATACAAATATTTCATTAACAAAATAGAAAGACAGGCCAAGCACCTGTTGTTCTCCAAGAAGGAATTGTTAAAGCCATGAAGTGCAGGTGGGAGACTGGAGAGATTTGAGGCACTTGTCATTCTCTGAGAAGGAACTATTAAAAGTAGGCTATTCAATTGTCTAAGAACTAACCAAAAATGTTATGGAAGACTACTTGAATAGACTACTTTTAAAGTTAAAAAGAACAGTGATATCACAGAAGACATGTACAACAACTTAAAAGTCACTAATGCACATACCCCTTGTTTGTTTAGTGCTCCAAAAATTCCTGAAATCCCAAGTGATATTGCCCTATCCTTTTCACTTATGGCAACCATAATCATAAGCCTGCATAATTTTTAGGTTTCCCAATTAAACCATTACATGACGAGAATAAACAGAGAATTAAAAGTGTTCCAGAATTCCAAAGAGATCTCAATAACTTTAACAATCATCACAAAATGTACAGCCTTAATGTATTCTCCATGTATACAATGATACCAAAAGAGGAAGCAATAGACATGAAAAATTTTCACAAACTGGATTACAACCTGAGCTTAAAAAGTTGGAAAAATGTGTTCCACTTTGCATTAAAAATATTTTTTTACCTGGAGACTGGAGAAGATAAAGAGGCACCTGTGTTCCCCAAGAAGGAATCATTAAAGTCATGTAGTGCAGGTGTGAGACTGGAGAAGATAAAGAGGCACCTGTGTTCCCCAAGAAGGAATCATTAAAGTCATGTAGTGCAGGTGTGAGACTGGAGAAAGTAGAGCCACCTGCACTATATGATTTTAATAATTCCTCCTCCGAGAATGACAAGTGCCTCTCTATTCTCCCATTTGTACCACATGACTTTAATGATTCTTTCCCAGAGAGTAACAGGTGCTTCTCTACTCTCTCCAGTCTCACACCTGCACTACATGAATTTAACGATTCGTTCTTGGGAAACACAGGTGCCTCTTTATCTTGTCCAGTCTTCCACCTGCACTACATGATTTTGATAATTCCTCCTCCACAAATGACAAGTGCCTCTCCAGTCTCCCATTTGTACTACATTACTTTAACGATTTAACCTTCCCAGAGAGTGACAGGTGCTTCTCTTCTCTCTCTCCAGTCCCTCATTTGCACTACCTGACTTTGATGATTCCTTCCCAGAGAATGTCAGGTGCTTCTCTACTCTCTCTCCAGTTCCTCTTCTGCACTACATGACTTTGATGATTCCTTCCCAGAGAATGACAGGTGCTTCTCTACTCTCTCTCCAGTTCCTCACCTGCACTACATAACTTTGATGATTCTGTCTTGAAGAATGATAGGTGCCTCTGTGTTTTTCCCAGTTCCAGATCCACATGTAGATTGGGTTTTATTATATAAAATATTGCAGAAGTAAGATGTTGAAGTTGACATTAATATTTTAGTTGTAAAGTAAAAGTAAAAAAAATGCCGTTTTCATATCAATTCTTTCTTCTCCCAACATCAGGGAAAATTATCTTAAAAGATTAAGATAGTTATTAGCTATTTCATATCATTTCTATCTCTTCTCAACACTAAGAAGATATATTGAGAAACATTTTTAAATATTCCTGGCTATGAATTTGGTTGCAGATCATTTATCTCGTCCCAACCAGATTCTCCCCACGGCATGGTCTTTCAATCCTCAGGTCTTTCGGTGGGTGTGTTCTTACCTCAAAATATCTCATATTGATGCCTTTGCTACACCCTGGAACACCAAACTTCCTTCCTTCTTTTGGTCTACCATTCCATACCCATTAGCTCTTTTAGTGGATGCATTCACTCAGGATTGGAGGGGTCTTTATATCTATGCTTACCCTCCAATTTGACTCCTATCCAGAGTTCTATCCCTCGTCCAAACCACTCCATATCTAGTTTTGCTTATTGCTTCGTATTAACCTGCAGAGCCATGGTTTCTTCTACTTTTACCTTTACTTGTACAATATCCCCTGCCCTTAACTGTTTCAGTCTCTTCTCTATCAGGCATTGTTCATCCAGACATCACCAAACTCTGTCTTCATGCTTGGGTTTTGTCAGGTCCATTGCCTCAGCCCAGACTCCTCATGTTGTATCATTCCTTTCCCAAACCATCAGACCATCCATGACCATTTACCAAATACATTGGTCTACCTTCCACCTTTTGTCTCTTCAACATGGCTTTCCTTCTTCCCATCCTTCCATTCCTCATCTTTCCAATTCTTCACCAGGTTGTTAGACAAGGGCTTGTCTGTTTGATGGTATCTATCTATTGGGCAGCCCTGTTGAACACCTTCTATTTCTCTTGATTTCACATGGTTTTGTTCTCTTCTTTCATTTCCCTTCTTTTCCATTCCTTTTGTATCAATCGACCATCATGTTTCTTTGTTTTGCCGAATTGGGATCTTAATGTGATCCTGTATACCCTTTCTCGTTCTCCCTTTGAACCACTGGCTACATGTTACTTGTACCATCTCTCCCTCAAGACCTATTTCCTCCACCTCATTGCTTGCAGGTGTCGTCATTCAGATATTTATGCCACTTCTGTTTTTCACATTCTTTACCATACCTTTTATGTTATCCTCTACCCTGACCAGTCCTTCCTTCCTAAGACCTATGCTTCCTGGGAAGGTGGTTTGGCTTTCTGACCCATTTTCTTACTTTTTATTTCCCACCTTTCTCTCATTCAAATATGGATAGGCTTCTTTGTCCAGTTCACTCCTTAAAGTGTTTTGTGACACATACTGCTTGCTTTCAGTATTTGTGTTCCCGACTTGTTATTCCCTGGAATCCTTCCATTTCCTGTGATCTGTCACCCATCACTCTCACTGGTTGGGTTTGTCAACTTATAAGGCTGGCATATTCAGACTTATCCATGGAAGGTCGCCATCTCCACAGTATTTTTTTTGCATCAAATTCGTTACATTACTATGTCTTCGGCTGCTCTCCTTTGCCATCCTTTAGAAGAAAACATTCAGGCTGGAATGTGAACTACTCCCAATACCTTTGTCACTCATTATCTGCATGATCTGGCTGTATCTTTTTTTTTTCTCACAATTTTACACACATCCATTCACCTTTGATGGAGGTAAGTCTTATCACTTCCTTTCATCTATGTTTTATTTTCAGCATCCCTAGTCTTTACCACCTGGTTAGGTATGCTTTGCTTTAAACCCATACTAGTTTATAGTTGCTATATAATGCTCACTGTAGAGGTAGGATGTTTCTGTAAGACCACTGGTCACTTACCCAGTAGTGTGTGTATATACTAGATATCAAACAATAATTTTGGTTGCAGAAAGTTCTTTCCCTTCTTCTACGGTTGAGTTTGGGAGACTTAGTCTGCCTAGTAATACCGACAACAGGACATTCACATTCTGTACCTACAGTTGGGTGATTGTTCCATGCCTTCCTCATAAATCTGGATAGAGGATGTCTGTGCTCTGCCTTTATGTTGAGTGAATTATGGTTTTGCTCGTAATACTGGTTACAGCTTTACCCTGTTCTTACAGTTGAGCCGAGGCAACCCATGACCCCATAATGCTGGGTTAAGTTTGTTGTACTTCTTGCTCCTACGGTAGTTTCGGGAGTTTTTCCGGTTACAACTGAAAGTTCACTTTGTCTTAGTAATTGCAGTCGCCTGACATATGACTCTCTGTTTATTTACAGTTGGTGTTGTTGGGTATATAGATATATATATATAACATGATCCCCTTGCCCTAGCCACAATGTTGTTATTACAGTTTTGTTCATCCTCAACCTCATAATGCCAAGGACGAGTTATGGAACTTTTTCTGTCTGGTTGAGATTGAGAATTTACAGAGCTCATTCCATTATATGTTATTATTGCTTGCAACTTTCAAACCATGTTCCACTTGTGCAAGTAACTTTCTTTTCTGCCCACTTTGGATTAATTTTCTACTTCCTGGGCAAAGAGCATACCTATTTCAGAAGTGGTGTGGTGACCCACATGTGTGCTCCATTTTTATCACCAAGCACACCTGTTCATTCTGGGCAGATGCTTTCCACTTGGTTTCACTTTCATGTGCCTACACCAGTACCCCCACCTTTACAATGTGGGATTATAGGTTTGTTAAAGAGGAGGCAAGACTGTATCAGAAGTTAACATTTTTCTTACACTGAAAATATATTTCTGATAGGCACTTACCTCCTTTCACACCCTTCCTTCCCACTGCTGGTGTTCATATTTTGATACCTGCCAATTCTTGAAAGTGAGGATTGAGCAGGAATAGCAGAGGGAGCTAGCTGCACTAGTATAGGTGGTGCAATACTATTAGTGGAGAGTAGTCACACGAAATGGCGTGAAACTGATAGGGTATAAAGATTGGTGCACTAATTGTAAAACCTTTTTTAGCAATGCTTAGAAGGAAAACAAGGATCGAGATATCTTTGTGTGATAGGAGGTAAGTACCTAACAGAAATACATTTTCATTGTAAGAAAAATGTTAACTTTCAAGAACAATAATGCTCCCGTGCCAGCTAATATTTCCACAAGGGTTTTGAAGGAGGTAAGGATTGGATATGTTAGCGACTTGCTGCTATATTTTGTAAGTCCTTGAATAGTGGGCAGGTACCAGAGGATTGGAAGTTGGCTAATGCTACTCCTTTTTTCAAGGAAGGTGATAAAAATTGTCCCAGTAATTATAAACCCATTAGTCTTACATCAGTTGTGGGAAAAATTTTGGATAGTCTGATAAAAGATGCTTTCCAAAGTTATGTAACAAAGTTTAGAATTTTATTGAATAGTCAACATGGTTTCACTGAAGGAAAATCTTGTTTTACAAATCTTTTGACATCCTTTGAAAAGGTAGCTACTCATGTTGATGAGCTTAAGAGTGTAGATTTGGTGTATATGGAATTTTAGAAAATCTTGGACAAGGTGCCATATAAAAGGCTTGTAAAAAATTATCCCTGTAGGTGTCTGGGATAAGTTAGTTCATTGGTTAGAAGAGTGGTTGGATGGAAGAAAGCAGAGGGTTATTATAAATGGAGTTCAGTCAGACTGGATTAATGTCACAAGTGGAATATCTCAGGGCTCAGTCTTAGGATCTTTGCTCTTTTTGATTTACATCAATCATATAGATGAAGGAATAGTCAATAAATTACTTAAATTTGCTGATGATATTAAAATCTTGGGTGTTGCTGGCTGTAAGAAGGATGCTGCTGATTTACAAAAGGAATTAGATCATTTAGTGAGTTGGGTGAATAAATGGCAGATAGGTTTTAATTATAATAAATGCAAGATAATACATGTGGGTTATCATAATTTGAATTATAAGTATAATTTGGATGGGAATAACCTTAAAGTGTCATGAAGGAAAGAGATCTTGGTGTAATAGTCGATCAGTCTCTAAAGCGATCCAAGCAGTGTGCTGTTGCTAGTGGTAGGGCAAATAGGATTTTAGGTTGTATCTACAGAAATATTTAATATAAGTCTAAAGAGGTTATAATGTCATTCAACAGGTTACTGGTTAGGCCGTATTTGGAATATTGTGTTCAGTCTTAGGCTCCTTACCTTAAGAAGGACATTGAATTTTTGGAAAGGGTTTCTAGAACAGTGCCTGATATGGAGAGGTTGTCATATGAGCAGAGGTACAAATCTCTCAAATTGTTTTCTCTTGAAAAAATAGAAGAGTTAGTGGGGATTTGATTAAGGTTTTTAAGATTGTAAAGGGAATTGATAGTGTTGATGCATCATCTTTTTTCATACTTAACAGTGAGAATAGTAGGACTAGGGGACACAAGTATAAATTTTGGCAGGTTAGGAGTCATCTTCAGCTAAGACAATTTTATTTTTCTAACATGGTGGTTGGCCTTTGGATGTTGTGGAAGCAGTAAATTTAAGTGAGTTTAAGAGAAAGCTTGATAACTATATGAATGACAAGGGCTGGATTTGAAGTTGTTTTTTTTTATTTACTTATTTAATATTTATATTTTAGTTTCGAGAATGGGACAGTCTAGATGGACCAATATGTCCATTGTTGTCTTTAAACATTATGTTATGTGTATGTGTGTGTTTTTATTATATAGTCCTAAAGATTAGTTATATTACTTAATAGTAAAATAATGTCAGTATTAAGTAAAGCTTGGTAAAAGTTCATTTGTTTATAAAAGTTTAGTCAATGAAATGAGGAATTTTTATTATTATGATAGATATCACGTGGTTGGTGATTCAATCTGTAGTTAGGCCTAAGCCAATGAACTACAGAATGTTAATAATTCTTTTCTTAACAAATTTCCAGTAAATATAACAACTCCCATATCACTTAAATATTTCCATGGAAAAGATACAACCAAATGGGATCCTAAAGATGGGGTAAGTTGTACACATTTATATTGTAAAATTAATTTAATTTCATCTATCAAGCTTTTTTTGTTTTTCTTCTGTCAACTTTTATTCTTCTGCGTGATTTTAATTAACAGCATTTTCTTTTCTGTTTTTTATTTAATAATTAACTTCCTATCATCTGTTATTTTATTCCTAATAATCTCATTCCTATATTTAACCTTCATGTCTTCTCTCATTCTTCTGTGCTATCTTGTTTTAAAATTTGCTTCTTTTTTCATTATTTTTAGTTATTTTTTAAATACAGCAACCTTCATTTCTCTTCTACTTTTCTGCTCTCTCCTTATTATATGATACATTTCCTTAACAATGAAAGTTATCAAGTGTTAATACTGTTTTTTGTTGTTATATTTCTAATTCTAAAACTGTGTAAATCATGGTTTTTAATAACAACTGTTTCTTCTCTGTTGCTTTTCTTTCTGCTGTTTTATTATTTATAGCATTCTGTGTTTGAGCTTTCATATTCTCTTGCTGGATTACTTTTCAGTACAATCATTTTACAACTAGTATGATATTTTTCATCTCTTTTACTGACTTTGTTTTTTAAAGTTTGACCCCGTCATCCTTTCATTATTCTGTTCTTATGTTAACAAATGTTTTTCAACTTTTACCTACCTGTATTTTATTTTTCTAGTGACCAAGTTTTTCAAGAGTCATCTTTTTTTGTATTCCTTTATTGATATCTTTAGTTTATATGTCTCTATCTCTTTTTCCAGAGATGGTGATATTTTTATTAATAATGGCATGATGGTTTTGTTCTTTTCAAATCTTTAAGAAAAACAGCTGTACTTGCTCTTAACTCAAGAGTTGTCCATAAAAAAAGTAATTCTTTGATAGAATATTTAATATTAACTTCCAGTCAAAACAAGCTACTTACTTAGATCATAATTATAATTAACCTGATAATGAGCATAGCTAATTAAATATACATTTATGTCATTATTTAATATTAACTTCCAGCCAAAACAAGCTACTTACTTAGATCAGAATTATAATTAACCTGGTAATGACCTAATTAAATATACTGTTCTTACTTATAAAGATTAGAAGATTGTTTCACCATTTGGGGACCAGAATGCTAACTGCTTGTAAACCTAGTAATATTTCATGAGGTAAATCTGTATACTAAACTAACAATACAAAACTGTCTTTACAATGAAAATTAGAAAGATAGATATATTAACATTCTAATTTATACAGTTAATGCAAGAACAAAGTACAAATTTAATACAGAACACATAAACACTAGTTGTCTGCTTCGTGTATTGTCATAGATTTAATGTACACTGAAGAAGCTTAAGTGCATTAACAAAATGTGGTTTAACTTCAGAGCCAAGATTTCTTAGTAAAAAATTATACAAAGAACTCTTTTGATTTATCTTCCTAGGGATTTGATGCTCATGTTGTGTCAACAGTGTCAGAATGGATACTAGCATTGGCTTTTGATTTTTACTTTCTGACTTTTGTAAGAGAGCTCCATGATATCTCAATGACATCACCAAAAGTAGGTCATCAAGTCATTACTAGACATCATTGTACTTGTTATCCACTTTCAAGGCTGTAGGAAGTAGTAAGACCAGTCAGGCCATGGCCAAAATTGCTTCCTATGGCAATGAACTGTTTATAATGTTGCAACTTTGGGTTATTGCAAACATTTTCCATACAATGTTACAGCATGTTTTTTTATGCCATTAAATGATATTTCTTATTACTGTCCCACTATTTAAAGTTCAGATGTGAAGAGTTGAAATTTATAAAATAATAGAAATAAGTCTGTACAAGGATTTATTTTTTTGTTATACAAAAGTTTAATAAATGATATAGGCTAGTTAATGTGCTTTTGTTTTTAAAATAACTTCATTTTTGGGTAGGCTTTCTAAATACATAAACTAATCAGACACTTAGGAAGTTTTGAGAATAAGAAATAAGTGTATTTTGCTTTAAACTTAGGTGTTCTGATAAGATAAGGATTTCTGTAATTCTTTCCCATCATCTGTGTTATGGATGAAGTGTGGGTTACATAAGTTATATATTTGAGTTTCTTTAACATGTGCTATAAAAGAAGGGACAAAAAACTGTTGAGTTTCAGTAGAAAACAAGTTTGAATTAATAAGATCAATTCCTTAGGTTATTTTCCTGATTCAAGAAATGGGAATGCCTACAAGTGGCGACATCTATCGTTGTGATGATAACTTGGAGGTGGCCTCCCCACAAAGTTCCAGAACTGTAGAACCTGTTTCCCCCAGGGAAGTGATAAGCAGTGTATGCTCTGCTACTTCCCAGGTTATTATACAATGATAAACGGTTCCTTATCTTAGGATAGTTTTTGATCAAAGTTGTAATGCTGCAGTCTTGGAACCAGTTTCAACAGTCTCATCAGCACTGGTAAACAAAATGTTGACATTCCAGTGAGAATATGTGAATTTATATCATGTCCAGAACCTAAAGTTTTATTCTATTACTTTCTCATGTTGTATTATTTAAGTTAATGAGACAGTTGTATTATATTAAATAATAATTTTTTTAAACTAAAAAAGTGAATGTTCATAAATGGAGATCGATTATTTTAAGTATTATTGTGGGTATATGAAGATTTTATGGTTGTTATTGGTGTGATTAAATCTTTTATATTAGCGTTGGTCCTCAGGTTTCATAATACGTATGTACATCAATGCAAGTATTTTATTACAAATTTTCACAGTCATAACTAAAATCATACAAGCTCTTAGTACAGTCATGTGTTGTTAGTATTTAACTAGTTGATAACATCTTATTTAACAATCTGCTGAATATTACAGTTATGTAATTCAACAAAAATGGGTTTAGTTCCTTACAATGGTAAACTGATACACGTGACCACTGTTTAGACCATTTCACTTGTATTCTTAATCCAGAAAGGTCCATAGTCTCATGGAAAATGAGGAATTAATAGACAGGTTGTTAACTTTTCTTATATTTGATATATAACGTTTTAATGTTCAAGTATAATATATGGTCTTTTTTAATATATAATAATAATATACTATTTGGTCACTCTAGTGTTAAAACTACTAATGTCTCTGGTATTTTTAAAAAGCAAACTTGGATTGATAAGATTAATTCTTTGTGTCATTTTCTTGACTACGAAATCAAGAAGTCTTAAAAGTAGCAACATCTGTCGTAATGACATTTTCTAATATCAAATGGTATTAGCAGAAATTCAACCAGAGTATTTTATATAGTTGCATATTTTTTTGATAAGGGTATTATTTATTTGATGTTGTTCACTTGGTCCTGAATCAATACTTTGATAAAATACAAATTTCATAAATACATTATGTATGGGAAACTGAAAATTCTTGACAGAGCATTGTAAGTATTCTGACCTGCTGTAACTAACCATCAAATATGGACAGACAAGAACAAGTTGAATTTGAGAGTAAAGTAATTTCATGTAGTTTAACATTGAAAAAATGTAGTGTATACTTTTACACCATTAATTTCTAGTAGGTGTTAAACCGTCTTTTATTTGTCTTTCATTCTTAGAAACACACACACAGTATTAAAGAAAAAGTGTTTGATGTTATACGAGTGTAATACTCTTAAAATTAAGAAAACTCGTTTCTCTTTATATTTGAAAATGTTAAAATAAGTGCTAGCTTTGACAACTTTAAACTTATAAAGTAAAGTAGCAAATCAGAAATTTTTGTCTTTTATTTTAAAAAAACTGACAGTAGTGAATTAAGGATTAATTTCTCATAAAGTTTTTCAAAGATTTAACTTCCAGTTTATGACAATATTTGGGCTATGTTGATGTCAAGATAAAAAAGATGCATGTTTCAGAATCATTACCTGACTCTCTCCTTATTTATTTATGGAATTTTTATTATATTTTTTAAATGTTTTACAGCCATCCAAATTAGTTTAAAGGTTTTCAGTATTCATTTAGTTATTTTACATGTATATCCCTGAGGCTTTACTAACAAATACAAAAATAATTCATTTGAGTGTGTGTGTGTGTGTGTGTATGTTATACATTTCCTTGCTATCAAAAATTATGTCTTCATATTTCAAAAAATCAGAGCCTACTCTGCATAATTCTGGATGTTAACCCTGATGTTAATTGTTATTTACTATCTATTTCAACAGCATATTCCTTGTAATTTTCTACCACTGTGTTGTTTCCTTTGCTCTATCTTTCCCCATTTACTATCATTATCTTTTAACTAAATGCAACATCTTATACATTATCAGTTGGAATTGCATGTTTGAATTTTGAAGCATTATGTGAAATATCTTTAACAATGTTATATTTATCAAATTATATATATTTTCATGTATAACATATTATCAAAACAGCTTTATAAGTTCAACATTTAAAAAATTAATTACAATTTACATACATTTTAATGTCTTTTCAATCATAGATTTTTACTTTGAAATATGAGTGTTTTTTAAGTCATTTGACTAATGTTTCTGTACAGAACAAATAACGTGGGTTTTTGTGGGATATCTTGAAGTATTAATTATGTCTATTGAATAAGGAGATAAAATAATAAACATGTTTACATAAATTTTCCTTAGTTGAAGTTTTAATTTCATTCACAAAGAGAATTTTCATTTATAGATCTGCAGGTTCAGAGTTCTGATCTCTTCATTAAAAAGTGCTTGCTCTTTATTATAGAGGTGTTATAATATGACAGCCAATCCCACTTTTCATTGGTAACAAGAGTATCCATAGACTCTGTAGTGGATAGTATTGACAACCTGCCTTACCTCCAATCTTTAACTTCTAAATTAGGGACAGCTAGTGCAGATATCCCTCTTGTATGCTTGAAAAAAATAAACACATTTCCAGACTTTTTGTAAACTTAAAAACATATTATAACCATCAACTATGATTAGCTGGTATTATCCCTCTTAATTTTCATAGCACACCCATACGACTTTCATATACCATTGTTGCTAAAATCATTTTGAAATATTACAAGTACATTAAACTAAGGATGAATTGTCCACATTCAATAACCATGGAAGAAAACCATGTAGACATGTTACAGGTACATTAAACCAAGGATGGATATTCTTCAGTTAATAACCATAGTAGAAAACCTTATTAAGATGTTACAGGTATGTTAAACTAATGATGAATTGTCCATATTCAATAACCATGGAAGAAAACCATGTAGACATGTTACAGGTACATTAAACCAAGGACGGATATTCTTCAGTTAATAACCATAGTAGAAAACCATATTAAGATGTTACAGGTATGTTAAACTAATGATGAACTTTCCACAATTAATAACGATAGTAGAAATCCATGTTGAGATGTCACAGGTATATTAAACCCAAGATCAACTTTTCATAGTTAATAACCATGCCAGAAAAAACATGTTGAGGTGCTATAGGTACATTAAACCAAGGATCTACTCTCCACAGTTAATTACCAAAGTAAAAAAACTTGAGATTTTTCAGGTATATTAAACCAAGTATGAACTATTGACAGTTAATAACCATAAAAAGAAACCATGTTGATATATTAGAGGTACATTAAACCAAAGATGAACTTTCGATAGTTAATTACCATTGTCAAAAACCATGTTGAGATGCTACAAGTACCTTAAAACAAGAATGAACTTTCCACAGTTAATAACCATGTTAATATGTTACAGGTATATTAAACCAAGGATGAACTTTCCACAGTAATAACCATAGTAGAAAACAATTTTGAGATTTTTCAGGTATATTTAACTAAGGATGAACTATCAACAGTTAATAACCATAGAAAGAAACCACATTGATATATTAGAGGTACATTAAACCAAGGATGAACTTTCCACAGTTAATACCATAGTAAAAGACAATGTTGAGATGTTACAGGTATATTAAATTAAGGATGAATTTTTGACAGTTAATAATTACGGCAAAAAACTATGTTGAGGTGTTACAGGTACATTAAACCAAGGATGAACTTTTCACAGTTAATAACTATAATAGAAACCATATTAAGATGTTATAGGTACAATAAACAATAGATGAACTTTTCACAGTTAATAACCATAGTAAAAAACCATGTTGAGATTTTACAAGTATATTAAACAACCTTTCCACACATAATAACCGTAGTAAAAAATCCTCGTTGATATATCAGGTACATTAAACCAAGGATGAACTTTCCATAATCAATAACCATGGAAGAAAACCATGTTGAGATGTTATAGGTACAATAAACTAAGGATGAACTTTCCACAATTAATAATTATGTTGACATGTTACAGGTACATTAAACCAAGGATGAATATTCCTCAGTTAATAACCATAGTAGAAAACCATATTAAGATGTTACAGGTATAATAAACTAAAGATGAACTTTCCACAGTTAATAACTATAGTAGAAATACATGTTCATATGTTACAGGTACATTAAACCTAGGATGAAGTTTCGACAGTTAACAACCATAGAAAGAAACCATCTTGATATATTAGAGGTACGTTAAAGCAAGGATGAACTTTCCACAGTTAAAGACCATACTAAAAAACCATGTTCAAATGTTACAGGTATATTAAACCAAGGATGAACTATCAACAGTTAATAACCATAGACAGAAACAATGTTGAAGTATTAGAGGTACGTTAAAGCAAGGATGAACTTTCCACAGTTAAAGACCATACTAAAAAACCATGTTCAAATGTTACAGGTATATTAAACCAAGGATGAACTATCAACAGTTAATAACCATAGACAGAAACCATGTTGATATATTAGAGATACATTAAACCAAGGATGAACTTTCCACAGTTAATAACTATGGCAAAAAATCATGTTGTAATATTGCAGGTATATTAAACCAAGTATAAACTATTGACAGTTAATAACCATAGGAAGTAACCATGTTGATATATTAGAGGTACATTAAACCAAGGATGAACTTTCGATAGTTAATAACCATAGTAAAAAAACCATGTTGAGATGCTACAAGTACATTAAAACAAGGATGAATTTTTCACACTAATAGCCATAATAGAAAACCATGTTCATATGTTACACGTATATTAAACCAAGAATAAACAATCTGAAAGTTCTTGTGTTTTAAATAATAATAATAATCAGTATGTCGTTCATTTATTATATTTAGTTGTAGGGCGATTATTGATTATGTATGATTTGTGAAACATTAAGTGTCCTACAGAACATTGTCTGAAAGAAGTTATGAACAGTTTAGTAATATATTCCACACTTTCACAAGTTTTGTGTGTGTTTAGAGGTGATCAATGGTTATAGAGAAAATAGATGGATACAGTAAGTCAATCATTTATTATTTTTATTGCAGATAATGATTTTAACATAAATAAATCTAGACGTTGATGACTTGTAGAATTACTATCACAATACATTTGTTAAAATCCCACGGTAATAAGTGATTAAGTATATGTGAAAATCGCCTTTGTAAAATGTGTAAATTATTTTGTTGTATAAAGACAAATTAGTAAAAGTGGTATTACATAATAAACGTTTTATTGGTGACATAAATTTTTGTATAAAGACAAAGTTTTAAATATTTGTATGATTGTTTGTTTTTAATTAAGCACAAATCTACACAATGGGCTATCTGTGCTCTGCCCACCACGGGTATCGAAACCCGGATTCTAGCGTTATAAGTCCGCAGACATGCCGCTGTGCCACTGGAAGGGTTTTTGTATGATATTGCCCTTTTTAGGGCGACTTAAACCTATAGTCATGTATTGTATACGTCATATTGAGTAATATATAGTTCTTTTAGGAGAGGAAATGTAATAATTTAGTACTGAAAATCTTTAATCACTTGATTGAGTAAGTTTCAATTATCGTATTGTCCTTGTAGGACTAATTAATGATAAGGAAATGTAATGTCCTTTTTAGGACGGAGTAATTAACAAATGAATTCGTTTGTTTGTTTTTAATTAAGCATAAAGCTACACAATGGGCTATCTGTGCCACTGGGGGCCTAAATGAATTAGTATTAAGCGTCCTTTTTATGACGATTTAATTATTTGTGATTAATTATATTCTTGTTGAGACATGTATTGTATGAAACATGGCTGCTTATAAACATGTTCTCTACTTTGTGGTAGGATGATTTAATTATTTATTAATTAACTAATGAATTAACATCTTTTTTATGACGATTTAATTAATTTTTAGCGGGATAACTACTTAGACTAACCGCTGAGCCACCGGGGCCTGTAACAAAGAACTTTTTTAGAATTTATTCTCGTTCTAGAAACTCATTTTCGTTACAAGTTTCACTAGTACTGATGTAACACAGTTGTAATTTTATCTTTGTTTTTTTTAATGGAACTGTTAGACTAGTAGTCACTATTACCGAACTTGTATTGCGATCATTTTTTGGAAATCCGACATTTCATTTGTGAAAATAGATAAGATCGTATACTTAAAATTCACTATGTCTAGAACTGGAAATAATGTTAAACTTCACATACTAGCGGGAACTCTACACAGCGAAAGTTAAATTGACTTATTGTGTCTATTAACCACACATGTACAACCAGGGTTCTCTGAAAACACCAATACCAAAAATTATGTAATTCTTATTTCTTGACAAAAAGACATGTTCAAATATATACCAATTTATTAGGTTGTCAAGAAATTAATGTCGCTTTTTTTAGATGAAAAACCCGAACAACTTATGTATCAAACAAAACATTTATTAAATGAGTCTCCATTCTTAACGATGATGCTTTTCCATCTTACCATCAGGTTGTTAATGCCCTGATTTGGATTTGAAGCATAAAACATATCGATATCTTCATTTAACATCTTCACATTTGCATACGTTTTCCTCTTAAGATGGAGTTGCAGCGAACAAAAAGATGGCAATCTGATGGTGCCATATTTGGAGAATAGGGTGGGTGGGGGAGAACTTCCCAACCCAACTCCATAACCTTGTGTTGCGTCAAATGTTTCTGATGAAGAGCTTGATTTAAATGTTCCACTTACTGACTATAGATCTCTGCACTGGCAATTCACTGTGGATTGAGAAGTTCGAAATGAATTGCTCCTTTGATGTCCCACCAAATGCAAAGCATCACTTTCTGCGGATAGAGTCCAAGTTTTGGGGTCGGAAGTGGTTTTTGTCTAGGACTGAGTCATTGTTTTTTGCATTTAGTATTCAGATAGAAAATCCATTTTTCATCACCGGTGACAACTCTGTCCAAAAATGGTTCACGCGCCAGAAGAGACGAAGCAACTTTCACATGTTGGAAAAGATGATCATCGGAGAGTTTGTGAGACACCCAAACACCTTCCTTATGGGGTTTCCTCAATACCTTAGATGTTTACATATTGTTTCATGAAAGACATACAATTTCAGGGCCATTTTATAACTGTGTTACATTGGATTAGACTCAACAAGGATCTTCAGAGCATCAATATCAATTCCAACATGTCGACCCCTGCCATCACAGTTTTTAAGGCTAAAGTCA